GGACATTTCATTTACATAGCAAAAAAAATACAAATCCCAGTGGTGAATAAATACCACCAAAATAAAGCTTTATCTATCTAAAAAAATGGTAAAAATTCATTTGGGTACAGTGTTGCATGACCGCGCAATTGTCATTCAAAGTGTGATAGCGCTAAAAACTGAAAATTGCCCTGGTCAGGAAGGGGGTAAAAGTGTCCGGTCTGGAAGTGGTTAAAGTTAGCTTGATAAACATGCAGAAAGATACACCAAGTTCCATAGGTTGCCAGAAAATAGAAAATATAAAAAATTCATATTGACCTAACTAAAGAAATAAAAAAAATGTAAAAACTGTTTTAGGAAATATATATAAATATATAAAGCCCCTACAGTGTCCCTTTGAACAAGTTTACATATATACGTACACGTATATATTCTGCAGTGCTTTTTTTTTTTATATTGTCACCAAGATGGTGCTTGTACCTTTCACATAGCATTGTGAGCTAATGCTTTATTTTCCTTCAAGAGACTACAAGTGTCAGCAAAGAGTAAAACTGTTTAAGAAGAACAAGCGCTCTTATTGTTTCTCTGTACCAGCTATCTGCAAGGTCGCAGAATTGTTAGTCATTATTATAACCACATGTTATTTTTATAACAAATGAAAGCATAGCAGGAGTTCTTCCAATCTGTTATATAGTTATGATCAGTGGTACACTGTGTCAAGAGTTGTTGAAATAAAATATAAATTATCTATTTTGGGGTCTATTATTAAATGTTTTCACAAATGATTCACACAGCTGTCCTCCAGGATTCACACGTTTTCCATTGAATCCAAATCGAAAAATGTGTGGCTCTTCGGTGAAAGGTCATGTGAAGTAGACCCCTTAGGCTCGGTTCACAATATTACAACTTGAGAGCCACACGACGTTTGGTGCATTTTTGTCAGGCGACTTCCTGGTGATTTGCTGGTGACTTGAGTACTACTTTGATGTGGCTTTGAAGCTATTTTCATGCCTGTGGCCAATGAGAATGTAATGTCCTGGAATGTCAGATCCAAATCACATCAGTATAGATGAGGATCTGACTTGGAGGCTATTTCTAGCCTACTCCTATTCTGAATGATCCCCGACACATTCACTTCCTTGACATGTACTGACTGTGCCCTGTGAGTAGGCACTGTATGTGTCACAGAGCCTGCCTTCTGAACTACTGAGGTGCTGAGAGGAGGAGTTTCAGGAGGCGAGTCAGTACAGGAATCACTGCTTGTGGGCAGCAAGGTACCATGGGATATGTAGTGCTTAGAAATGGACCGTAAACAGCAAAGGAGAGGATGCAAACCATGCCGGGAATCCAGGCAGTTGTGAAAAGATATATCCAGCAGACAGGGAAAACTTACTTATAGACTGCCAATTGGTACGGGTTCTAGAAAGTGCATACTAATTTTTGGAGGCCCCGTGAGGATTTTTCTGATGCACAGGACACTTCTCGTAAAGTGTATGCATCCATCTCATTAGGGTATGGTGTGTGATGTCAGGGGGATCTTATTTGACACTATAGTGCATAGAAAACAAGGTTGGTTGTAAGCATATTGTCTATTTGTGTACTCTCCACTTTAGGCCACCAAGGCTCACATTGCGATGTTGACTATTATTGTTATTATTATACAGGATTTATATAGCGCCAACAGTTTGCTCAGCGCTTTACAACATAACGGGAGACAATACAGCAGCAATACAGTTCAATACAAGAGGGTTAGGAGGGCCCAGCTCCTTGGAGCTTACAATCTAGGAGGGAGGGGCTAGTGATACAAAAGGTAGTAACTGTGGGGGATGGACTGGTTGGAAGAGTAGAAGATTCCATTATTAGCTGAAGGCAGAATAGGCTTCCCTGAAAAGATAGGTTTTCAGAGATCGCCTAAAAGTGAGCAGAGTAGGCGATAGTCTGATACATTGGGGTAGAGAGTTCCAGACTACCAATAATAGGAAGTAGGTGGAGTTCTCAGTTATGGAATGACATGATTCTCTTTTTAAATGGAAAGGTACTGTGGGGCAGCTTTTTCATGTGCATCTTTTTTCTGGTTCTTTGTATACACACAAATGTAATCTGAAGGTAATGGTACATATACAGTATGTTTCTAATGCCTTTCGCACTATATTATTTTGAAGCAAAGCTAAACATGCATATTCCCATTCTATAATATAGTTGGCAATAGTGACCTGAAATGTTGTGGAAATTATCCCTTGTTTTCAGCCTGGTGAAGCAGCAGCGCAGGGCACTGGTAATTACATTTTATTTATGCTTTTATTTGGATCCCTTTCTATATTTAGCATATGATACAATGTTTGCATTTATGAATTAGCACTTATGGAGATAAGGACTATTATTTATATTTATATTTTAGGATGTTGTTTTGTACATTCGGTAGTAGGAGCGAAGTGTGGAGTGAGGGGCCTTTGCTGGTATGCTTCCCAGTTTGGTCCGAAGTTTTGGGCCTATTCCTTTCTCTTCTTCACCTCTCCATTAGCGCACCTGGGACAAAAGTATTATGTGTGTATTTGGGGCTATTGTATGGCATGTTGTATCAATGTTCTAATTATGTTTTGTGCTATGTAGAAATACTGCTATATGACTATACATTCGGCTCTTGAGGAAATGGACCACGTCCAGGAAACATGTCAACCCTTATAATCTAACAAATGGATTATTGAATATTTACGATTTAACTTTCTGTGTCATAATTTGGAACTAAAGGGCCAAGCCCAACCCCTGAAAAATACCCCACACCATAATCCCCATCAAATTTTACACTTGGCACCATGCAGTCAGGCAAGTATCGTTCTCCTGGCAACTGCCAAACCCAGACAAGTCTATTGGATTGCCAGACAGAGAAGCATAATTCGTCACTCCAGAGAACATGTCTCCACTGCTCTAGAGTCCAGTGGTGGCATGCTTTACACCACTGCATCCAACGCTTTGCATTGCACTTGGTGATGTAAGGCTTAGATGTAGCTGCTTGGCCATGGAACCCATTCAATGAAGCTCTCTACGCACTGTTGTTGTACTAATCTGAAGGCTGCATGAAGTTTGGAGGTCTTTAGCTATTGACTCTGCAGACAGTTGGCAGAATCAATAGCTAAATGCGCACTGTGTGCTTCAGCATGCGCTGACCCGTTCTTTCATTTTACATGGCCTACCACTTTGTGGCTGAGTTGCTGTTGTTCCCAGTTGCTTCCACTTTGTTATACAACTAACAGTTGACATTGGAATATTTAGTAGCAAGGAAATTTCACAGATGGACTTATTGCACAGGTTGCAACCTATCACGGTACCACGCTCACGCTTGAATTCACTGAGCTCCTGAGAGCAACCCATTCTTTCACAAATGTTTGTAGAAGCAGTCTGCATACCTAGGTGCTTGATTCTATATACCTGTGGCCATGGAGGTGATTGGTACATCTAAATCCAATGATTTGGAGGGGTGTCCCAATACTTTTAGCAATATAGTGTACATTGATGTACCACTATAAACATAATATGCAGTCATGCACTTTTTGTGGACATATAGAAGAGAAACTCAGTACCGTAAACACAACTTTATTATATACCATTAAAAATCCATTACACAACATAACAAATTACTCTCCATATAAGGGTTCACAACATGCAAAGATTCCAATTACTGTTCACATGTGGAGTTGACATGTTTTGGGAATCCTTCTTCAGGAGCACACATGACAGAATCAGTACACTGAAGCCCACTCCTAATCTTTAATAGAGTAATATCAGCCAGTAGTGTAGACTTGAGTAATTTTAAATATAGGTTTTTAATGGTATTTACTAAAGTTGTTTTTTTCAGTACTCAGTTTCTCTTCTATATGTCCACACAAAATCCATGACCACATATTCTGTTTATAGTGTGCATGATTTGCGCGGATGTGGACATGTAGCATACACAGTCTGGGTTTCTCTCCTGCTATATATTTGATACATTGATATATTTATATTGTAAGATTTTAGGGATTTGACATTCATAATCTAAATTTAGGGTATTACTGTATATTGGATTGTCAAAAATAACTGTTGTTTGCACTTTCTTACAATGCTGATGTTACTAAAGGAAAGTGTATGCTGCAACCATAGATTTCCTTCATTAACTTCATTGTATTGCTCAGTATTTTATTATTATAAAAAAAACACCTACACTTGTTTGCCTTTCCTATTTGTTTTGTTCAGCGCACATTAAATCACATTAGACTGGAAGGTTAGCGTGGCCATGCCTGCAGTAAGTGAAGTTTGTGAAAGCTTGCAGCTATGTCATGTAAAAGTGGCTGCTGACAGATGCTGCTTGTTCTGTCATCCAGAACTAACCTACACCTGTGACCTTCTGCACTGTGCCTGAAAAGCCAGCAGCAGACATAAATATATATCCATACACCAAGTGACTCTTCGCTTTCTTTGCTCTGTTTAACAATGTCAACATTAACAATGTGTCTGTAAAAACAATAAAATCACACTATCCACATACAAAGCATTGTTTCAAAATAAACTGAAGCCAAGTCTTCATTGTTTGGAAAAAAAAAAAAAAAAAAAAACCTAGTATGACTCACAATTTAAACTTAATGGATTGTAGTGGGCAGTAGGGATTATTAATACGTGTCTTAAAAAACACTTTTACCCCCTTCCTGCCTAGGCCAATTTTCAGCTTTCAGTGTCGTTAAACTTTAAATGACAATTGTCATGCAACACTGTACCCAAACTAAATGTTTATACTTTTTTGAGACAAATAGAGCTTTCTTTTGGTGGTATTTATTCACCACTGGGGGTTTTATTTTTTGCTAAACAAACCAATAAAACACCAAAAATTTGGGAAAAAACATTTTTCTTATGTAAAAAGGTGATTTTCTCCTTCACTGATGTGCGCTGATGAGGCTGCACTGACGAGGAGGCACTGATAAGGCTGCACTGATATGCGTTACTGATGGGAACTGATAGGCAACACTGATGGGCACTGATAGGTGGCACTAATGGGCACTGATAGGCGGCATTGATGGGCACTGACAAGCATCACTGATGGGCACTGACAGGCATCACTGAGGAGGCTCTGATGGGCACTGAAAGCCAGCACAGATGGGCACTGATGGCCAGTACAGATGGGCACTGAAAGCCAGCACAGATGGGCACTGATGGCCAGCACAGATGGGCACTGAAAGCCAGCACAGATGGGCACTATTGGCTGCACTGATGGGGCTACACTGATCAACAGGGCACTGATGATCAGTGCCCCGATTATCAGTGTAGATGTCCCCCTGAAAAATGCCTCTTACTGGCTCTCCACCCTGACAGTGCATGAGGGGAGGACTGCCGGAAACCAGTATTTCCTATTTACACTGTGATCAGCTGTGATTGAACACAGCTTGGCACATGGAAAAAGGTGGCTCTGATTGGCCCTTTACTTGTACACATGATCAGCTGTTTCTGATCACAGATCATGCATGGGGAGTGTGGTTTTGGGAGGAAGTCCACAGACACCCTACCAGAACTAGCCGACCGTGCTGTAGCTGTCTTTTGGCTATAGTGTAGTCAGGAACTGGTTAACCGCATTTTATAAGGTGTGATTACAAGCTCTCTGTGTCGTTATTAATATACAGGTGCATGGGTTTTTGTACTGTATTTTAAAAAGCAAAGGTACTTTATATATGTCTTCCAAAAGACTCGCTGGTACCTGACATGAATTGTAACCATCATCTCATCCAGCAGGGGGGAAAAGTGTTGTTTGCTAAAGCTTAAAGTGTATTTCCACATTTGCAGTCAATTTGAGAAAACTATCCACTTCATTTGTTATGGGTTCCCATTCACAACCACAAAAAATATTTCTTACCTTTTAGATGTGTAGAAGGTGTCATGACAATGTTAGAGTGAGTCTATCCCATGTCAGTCCTCATTAACATACAGTGCAAGAAGCCCAGCCCTTAAACCTTTAACCATTTGTTAGGACAGACAGTTACAATTGAGAACGAAGATCTGTCTGCACAGTACAGACAGGGTCAGGGGCGGACTGACAAGTCACGGGGCCCCCGGGCAATAGGGGATCATGGGGCCCCTGTGTCTTTGCCAAGACTCAAAAAAGCCTATGAAAAAGGTACCAGGGGCATCTCATGGGGCCCCCTACTGACTCCGGGACCCCGAGCAGTGCCCGAGTTTCCAAATGGTCAGTCCGCCCCTGGACAGGGTTAAGTATGGCAAACATTGCTGCCCAGAAACAAAGAGAACCATGTAGTATTTTTTCTTGCTGGAGGGTTGAGAATAAATATAGAAAAAGTCATTTCCATTTTTTTTTAAGTTACAATATGCTATGTGAATGGGGACATATACAAATAAAAAATAGGTGTTATCCCAATTTGGCTGAAAAAGTGGAAATACACTTTAAGTACAGCTACAATTTTTTTATCAGTACTTGTGACTGTACTTACATTGAGAGCTTGTTTACACCAAAGGACAGAGTTAATTCTGAAGCATCTATCAGCTGTTTCTTCTCCTCTTAATCAGGACAACTAGAACAATATGCCCCCAAGATGGTATCTTCTCAGTCCGCTCATAACTGTGAGACCGACTCTGTTGGCATATCCTCAACAGACCCATATGGTTTTGATGATAGCTCTTACCGTGACATACTACTACTAGCTTCAGGCAGAACAACATTCAAGTGTCATCCGATTAGGCTCCCAACCTAACCCTGCTTGCCTGGAGGAATACCCGAACTCTCTTACACTGGAGTTACAGGAGCTACTCTGCTTTCTCCCTACTAAGGCAGACTTTGACTCCCTTGCCTCTTGTGTGGAGAAGTATTTTAGAAAGGATATTACATCCAAACAACAATTCATGTCTTTGCTCACAACAAAACTGGATGAGGTGAAGGAGAATGCTGCCAAGTGTCCAGAGTCCAAGGTCTGGAGGCACAACTATCCTCCATTCTCCCACACATGCAACTACAAATTAAGGACTGGGTATGACCCACTGCTGTTAAGCCAATGGCATTGATTCTTCCCACCCTCTTAGCGGTTGTTACATGCAAAAGCTGTGGAAACCCTTTGTCTGTGTCGGGTTATAGCAGAATAATACTTTTTTCTACTATTGTAAGTATTGGTTTACTCCATGCTTCTTTATTGGTCAGCCATATTAAAACACATTCTGCATATACAAAATGGTAACAGACCCTTGCAGGCTAATTCTAGACTCTCTTATGAGTCCAAACTTGGTAGTCTACCTTACATAGCACCCTCTTAGTTTAGCTAGAGGGAGCTAGATCCCAATGGTTAGTCAGGAGCTGAGTAGCAGCTCAGGTGTAATAGCCAGAGGGGTCAAATTGTGGTCAGCATCTCTGGAAATTCCCCCTGCTCTGAGGTTTTTCGGAGGAGGGCTTTGGAGACAGTGGGTGGATCTGAGGAGTGGCTGGTTGAGAGAATTCAGCCAATCCCCAACAGAATGCTTGGCACGGGGCTGGGACTCCCTTTAAAATGTAGGAGCCTGCTCAGCAGGGGAGTCGGGTGGAAGAAGAAGAGGAGTGTGGAGAGGAAGATGTGAGGCAGAGGAAGGAGGCTGCCAGGAAGCCTAGTGGGATGGGACCTTCCTGCGAGCCTGCATCTGGAGAGGAGGAAAACGTGAAGCTCATTGGCCCCCTGAGCCAGCACCACCTCTATGGCAGGGAAGGAGCAGCCCAGCTGATAGCCCTGGTATCAACAGCCAACCCGTACAGAAGAGGGTCTGATTATCCCTGCACCTGGGAAACAGATTAGCCCCTTTCTAGTGACTGTTCACCCATTTAATGGAACAGTAGCAAGGTCCCCTGCTCAGGAAAACCTCCAGATTTCTGGGTGTAGAAGAGTTCATTTAGGGTCTGGGGTGGTACATCAAGGAGATGCTGGCTAGCTTTCCAACAGAGACTCAGTTGCAAAAGAGAAGCCTGTGGGTAGTTCTAGGATGTTTTGTCCTCAGTTATTAGTACTCTTGGGCATCCTATACCAACCTAACCCTATTCCAGTTAAAAATCCTCTCAATAAACAACAAACAAAACCTCCAGGATTGATTTCTGACTCTGAACACAAGCTTGTGTGGAGAATGCAGTTTACCTGGCTAACAGCATCCCCTAAGGGGGTGGTGCTACACCTATCAACTTCCACATAGCCACCTACTTAATGACCCCATATAGACATGTACAAAATGAAAAAATTTGTTTTGTTTTGTTTTTCCATTCATTATTTGACTAATTTTGTTTCATTCGATTAGTTAAATTTGTTTAATTAGTTTTTCGGAATTTGTTTTGTTTATTCGAATTCAACCAAATTCGAAATTTCGAACTGATTTGAAAATAATTTTAACGGATTCGAAAATAATTCTAAAACAATTCTAAAGGATTAAAAAATAATTCCAATGGATTCGATAATAATTCTAACGTTACAATCCATACTCCACAATACACATGTTTTTGATGGTATATGGGCTATATGAAGAGTTGCATGACCATATTGGAAATTTCTATTTTAGCAAAATTTTCACAGTGCCTTTGTTGGTCACTACTCACGTCACCATAGCTCAGTTCACAATTTTTTGTATAGTATTTTAGTCTTTTCTAATCTAGTCTATTCTTTTCTATTATTTTATATTCTATTCTAATGGCAGTTATATTATTTCTGTGTTATTCTATTTATTGTTTTTCTATACTATTTTATTCTTTCTTTCTCTATTCTAATCTTTTCTATTCTATTCATAGATTTTCTATTCTATTCCAATTGTTTCTATTCTATTATTATTGATTCTATTCTATTCTTTGGTTTCCTATTCTAATCATTTCTATTCTATTAAAATTGATTCTATTCTTTCCTATTCTGTTCTTTGATTTTCTATTCTATTCTAATGGATTCTATTCTTTTCTATTAATTTATTTTCTATTCTGTTATGTTCTTTTTTATTCTATTATTTTCTACTGTATTCGGTTCTATTCTTTTATTTTCTATTCTGTTCTTTTCTATTTCTTTATTTTCTGTTCTTTTTTATTCTATTCTTGTTTTCAAATTCAAATTGGTTTTTGAAATGTTTTTTTCGAATTTAAATCTGTTTTCGAATTTGAATTGATTCGAATTTCAACCGAATTTAGTTTCGTTATTTCAGAATTGTTTAACCATTAGCCACCCGGCCTATAGCCGTTTGGCAGCCGCAAAAATACATTAGCTTTCCGGGGTGTACGCCATTTGGCGTCCTCCCGCACATGCGCAGTTCGCGCGGTTGCAGAGCCGCGCGATCTATCACCGGCCGTGTGCCTCGGACACGGCCGATGATAGATCTGAGTACCGGCCCCTGTTGCCGGTACCATGTGACCTGCTGTGACCAATCACAGCAGGTCACATGACAGTTGTATACAATGGATGGCTTCATTCATGCCATCCATTGTATACTAGTGTCTAGCTGTGAATGGTCACAGCTAATCACATGCACAAGTCATGTGATTAGCTGTTGTCAAATCACAGCTAAGCACACAAAAAAAAAAAAAAACCTGAATGAATCGATGTCATTCAGGTAAATGCTTGCTTATAGCAAAGTAATTATTTGCTATAAGCAAATTGTGTGAAAAAAAAAAATACTGATCACTTCCCCAAAGTAGTACAATGTTACTATGGTAACATTGTACTAGTTTGGTCATAGTAAAATATGAAAAAAAATCTAAAAAAAAAAAAAAAATGTAATAAAAAATTAAAAATAATAAAAAAATAAAATTAAAAAAAAAAAAATATATATATTTTTTTTTTTCATACTCTCACCAGTCAGTGTCCCTGATCACTGCCATGCCAGTTATATGATGATTCTGTACTGCACTGGTGACAGTATGTAAAAAAAAAATAGTGAAAATAATTTTTTTAATTTTTTCATTTTCCGAAAAATTATGACAAAAAAAATACAACTTCAAAAAACTTGCCATTCCTCTTATAAAGTACGTCGGACTGTCTACTTTACAAAAAGGGGTCATTTGGGGGATATCTGTACTGTTCTGACATTCTTGGACCTCAAGAAATTAGATTGGCTATCAGTACTTCAGGATTGATCAATTTTCAGATCTATACCATAGTTTGTGAACTCTATAACTTTCCTACAAACTAAAAAATACATCCTAATTTGGGTTATTTTCACCAAAGACATGTAGCAGAATACATCTCGGCCTAAATTTATGAAGAACAATTATTTATTTGTAAACTTTTATAACAGAAACAAAGAAAAACGTGTTTTTTTTCAAAATGTTTAGACTTTTTTTGTTAATTTAGCAAAAAATAAAAACCCCAGTGGTGATTAAATACCACCAAAAGAAAGCTCTAGTTGTGTGAAGAAAATGATAAAATTTTTGTTTTGGGTACAATGTTGTATGACCGCGCAATTGTCATTCAAAGTGTGAGAGTGTTGAAACCTGAAAAATGGCCTGGGCAGGAAGGTGTAAAATTGCCCGGTATTGAAATGGTTAAATTCATTAATATTGTAATTTGGAATTCAGATACATCCATACATAATGGAAAATTTGGCTGAAATTCAATTCAGAACTAAACAAACTGCACATGTCTAACCTCATATGAGTTACAGGCTCTTTCCAAGTTGTCAAGGTTTTTGAGGTGTCACTACCTATTCTTATTACTGCTTTCCAAAAGAGGTGACTTGTTTATCCTTTAACTCACATGTTACTGTAACATACGTATTCTTCCTGCAGACAGGAGGGAACCACCTCCTCACAAATTTCTGCAAACGGTGCAAGAATTTGCCCTTTCCCTTCTACTTTATGGGCAGAGATGACTAGTATATACTTAGACAAGTTTCAGCTTTGCCTCTGAACAGTCTAAATATCCTGTTTCTGCATGTGTCTGACGTACACTTCATCCTACAACCAAGGATTTACATTCTACTCCCAGGCACATGACTACTGTTCCTGCATTTATATGTTTTTTTGTTGAATACAGCCATTTACAGCTGCCCTCTAATGCAAATATAGGCAACATTACCTTCTCTGATCACTTCTCTATCCTGCTTATTATTTCTTGTGGCCCTTCCACACCTCCAGCATTTAAATGGAATCTTAATGATTGTCTCCTCCTTGACCCCCTATTCAAATCTAACCTGGAGCAGGCATTGAATTTATTCTTCCCAACTAATGTTTCCTCAGAAACCTTTCCACAATTATATGGGAAATGAATAAATCATACATATGAGGAGTTCTTATCAAACA